GGGTTGTTCTAAACAAAATTTTAAGTGTTATTGCACTTCTACTACATCCTAACCAAGAAGTATAATAAGCTATAATAACTAATCTTATGAGGTATTATAAGCTGTATTAACTAATCTTATGGAGTATTATGAGCTATAATAACTAATCTGATGAGGTATTATAAGCTGTAGTAACTAATCTTATGGAGTATTATGAGCTATAATAACTAATCTGATGAGGTATTATAAGCTGTAGTAACTAATCTTATGGAGTATTACGGGTTGTTCTAAACAAAATTCTAAGTGTTATTGCATTTCTACTACATTCTAACCATGAAGTATGATAAGCTATAATAACTAATCTTATGGAGTATTATGAGCTATAATAACTAATCTGATGAGGTATTATAAGCTGTAGTAACTAATCTTATGGAGTATTACGAGTTGTTCTAAACAAAATTTTAAGTGTCATTGCAGTTCTACTACATTCTATCCATGAAGTATGATAAGCTGTAATAACTAATCTTAAATTAGTTATTATAACTCATAATACTCCATAAGATTAGTTACTACAACTCATAATACTCCACTTATGAGGTATTATAAGCTGTAATAACTAATCTTATGAGGTATTATAAGCTGTATTAACTAATCTTATGGAGTATTACGAGTTGTAGTAACTAATCTTACGGAGTATTATGAGTTATAATAACTAATCTTATGAGGTATTATAAGCTGTAATAACTAATGTTATGAGGTATTATAAGCTGTAATAACTAATCTTATGAGGTATTATAAGCTGTAATAACTAATCTTATGAGGTATTATAAGCTGTAATAACTAATCTTATGAGGTATTATAAGCTGTAATAACTAATCTTATGAGGTATTATAAGATGTAATAACTAATCTTATGAGGTATTATAAGCTGTAGTAACTAATCTTATGAAATATTACTCCCATTGAAGATTTAGAAACCTTTTATATTTATCTAACTCTAAATAAGCTTTAAATAACTTGTAGAAGTCAATATAATGACAAATTGCTACAAGGAAACTATAAAGCTAGTTTTTCAATTTCAGTTTCAATACTACCAAAGTTATTAAACATTACTTCATAGCTGATTTTATTGTGTTCTTTGTAACCTATAGCAATCATATTATAAAACTTACTCACATAGAAGCTTTGTTTCATTAGCTTTTTTAACTGCTGATTCCACAGATTGTAACTTGTAGTAATTAACCTTATGAAACATTACTCACTCTGCAATTCTAAGAGCTTCTTTAATTGCAGCTTCTACAGTTTCCCCTTCTGCTGAATGTTCTTGAGATATTGGAACTGCAACTAAAATACCACTCTCTAGATTTAGTTCATCTCTGGCTACTAATAGAAAAAAGAAAATAATTCATTTATTTTATTTATTTGTATAAGCATAATACAGCATAACAAAACTACTGGTAAATTAAAACGTTTTTTTTTTTCACTTCAACAAATAAATTTAGACAAAAAAATTAGAACAATCTGTGATCAAAGTTAAAAAGTAATCGTTTTAAAACTTCTTGATATTAATTGACCACAGAACTAATTCTGGAACAATGTTACTTCTTCTTTCAAATTCATTTTATTTACTTCTTCCTGGTGTTTTGTTCCTTTATTACCCACAGATATCAATAATCCTTAACCTACAAGATTTTTTAACCCCAAGTTATTGGCAACCCCTACACCCACTACTTAGATCTGTTTCCAACCCAAGACATCACTCATATTACAATTATGATATTTTTCTATCTTAGAACTTTTGTCTTTTAATATGTGGAACTTCCTTGTCTGCTACTAGCCACCACAGAAAAATCATGTTTAAATTAAACAAGTGCCCACAGAAAAATCCTGTTTAAAACTAAATATCTTTATCATTTCAGATTTTTCCTTATATGGCTTCGTTTAATTCTCAAAGAATAATCCTGGTGGCACTGTAAAAAAAAAACAAAAAACACTTAAAATATTGCAATTATTTTCCTTTTCTTTGTAGTTTTCACAGCGGTTACCAGCCTCACAAAACAAACTAAGTTATTGTTTTTATTCTTCACTGGTAATTTTTTCCTCTTTTACTAGCCCTAGGTATCAAACCTTTTGAACCTAAGTAGTTCCTATCTCAGATATATTTATTGCCAATTGGTTGGTGATTTTTGTTTAGTTAGATGCAACAGAAATGAATCTATTGAAACTATATACACTTTCCTTCTCACATATGATCTTGTTATCCCAGTTTTATTCATTTATCAATCTCTTTTCACCTGGTAGATTGTTCTTTCTCTTATTTACCCCATTACGACCAATTATCACTCTAACTTGGTTTTTCTCCATATCAAGATGTACAAAAGCAAATATCAGATTGCATGTACTTACTAATAAGCCTTGCAGCTTCCTCTGGTGTTGTTACATTATAAGGAGCAAGAAATCCACTATCAGATGTGAAGAATGCAGGGAAATTTCGAGAGGGTCCATACGTGACAACACTAACCCCAAAGGTTTCCTGGACAGATTACATACTGATCAAGAATGAGCTATCAAAATACACAAAGAAACAGAACAGGCACAAGGTTTAGCAAGAGAATTAATATAAAGCATGAAGGGAAATGCCGTGTCATTTTCTGTTTCTGTCATTTTTTTTCACTTGTCCTCCTAGGTTTAATAAATTGTACTGAATGAAAAGAACTAATAAAGAGCTTTAATTTAATTTAATTAGGCATGTACCTGTAATTTTAAAAATAAGGCAAAGCCTACTAACACCTTAATATTATATAATGGTACTGATCAGGAACAGATAATAAAACCCATACAATTTTAGAAAGAAAGAAATTTTAAACCACCACAGAAGTTGAAGCACAACTTTTGTTACTGATCTGTTGTTGACCAAAAAACCAGAAGCCAATGCATACTAATCATCTGATTGTTGTTAAAGTGCTCAAGTACAGCAGCAAATTTTATCAGCAATAATTTCCACTACACTAATATAATATTTTTTATTGGGGAACTAAAACAAAAAATAATGTTGTAAACTATGTTTTTAATGTTGTAACTTGTATGTTAAGATGGGCCTGGAATGCTTAGAAAGTTCTAAGTTGGCATGAAGTTTTTGAAGCTACATTAAAAAATATGAGATAGTTGTTTCAAGAGTGAGTAAGTTAAAAATATTATTAAGAGAGTGTAGAGTTATTTCCAGATAGAAAGTTTAATCAGTCAGTGTGTTTTTAGTAAAGTTAAATTTCCTAGTCTAAAAATGTGTTTCTGATAGATACTCACCTTCATGCACAGAATAGCTACATCTCTCACACATTTGCCTATGATTTTATCATGTCACTAGCCTTGAGCTACCTCCCACCTAAAATTCACGTACTTAACGTGAAATGCGCTGGTGCATAATGCAATCACCATGCAACAAGAACCCTCCACTAATAGAAGGGTGACACTTCCATGCACAGTAACTCCCCTTAAGCACTTGCACTCTATATTATATCTTTCTTAGACAAGGTAAGGAGAAAGTACACTAGAAGCTGGGAGGTCGGGTGTGAATATGTCTATCGAAAATACATTTTGAAGTTAGGAAAATGTTAACTTCCAAGATGATAACTCACCTCAACACACACAGAATGGCTAGAATCCCAGGATGAATCAGTAGTGGAGGGGCAGTGCAAATTTAAACCTAGATGACCTTCCTTCAAAAAGCACCTGAAGGGAAAGCCCATGGAGTATGACACCCAATTCAAAGGCTTCAAAGGGGCATACCTATGGAGGGCCACATCTCGCCAGGGTATACACTTCACCTGGAATACAAAGGGAGAAGGAGAATAGGCAAAAGAGCCTCAACTGTCGCAGGAATGGGTGGAATTTAAACGTGACCAACTAACCGCTCGTATACAAATGGTTGATGAGTCAATATGTATAGTGCTGTTAGGGCACAATCAGATCATATGCTGTGTGCTCACTTTGATTCTATTGGACAGACTCTGTCTACAGGATGAGGGCACATGAGTTGTTTCAGGAGTGACCTGTACTACACAGACAGTTTCAGCACCCCCATACCTCTCACCATATTGTGCTAAGATTCAGAAAGTTATTATACGAGAATTGATTAATATTATTAACTCCTTAAACCCAAGTGGACACTGCCAGTGTCTGACCAAAAATCCCAGTTTACCCATCAGACAGTGACAGTCCTAATTATCATCATATCTTATAAAATTTCCAGTCTATTTGTGAAACACGGTTTGGATTAGTTTTCAACTAAAGAGACATAAATACATAAATAAATGTTATAGGATATCATGAAAATAATTCCAGCAGAACATGCAAACAATTATGGGTTTAAAGAGTTAAGTCAGTAAAGAACAAGGACATGATACTGAGTGTTATACGGACAATACAGAAGAGTCACCAAAACATTACACTGTAAATTATTCAACAAGGTCTCAAGAAGAGTCATAATATGCAGGTTGTTCAGGGTTATTAAAGCCACAGTTACAAATATACAAAGACATTAAATGAGGTAAATTAAGAGTTTACATACAATAAAGAACAGACACTGTTGAGTCTCACATACACGTACAAAATGATCACAAAGATGTTGTATGGTTGGGTGACCATACTGTCCTTGATTTCTGGGGACAGTCCCTAGATGACAAATGTTGCCCCAGGAAAATAATACACATAAAAGTATCCCTAATTTGAGAAAACAGGGCCTGAAATATCCTTACATTTTATTTTTTAATTTATTATGAAGTATGTGACAGAAATATAAGAGATATAAAAATGAATCTACTTTTTTATCATTACTAGCTTAAGTATAGCATGAGAACATCTGTGCAGTCGCCTTAGCTATGAACTTGAAAATGTCATAGAATATCTACCTGTTCTTTTTTTGGACAGGAAAATTCTAAAATATAAACTCATCAGAGAATTACATCAGGCACTAGCACAGCAATCCTCTCCAACAGGGTCCAAAATTTGCATCATTTAGTCAGCATGCTCACTGCCATCAGCAGTATTAATAATTCTTACCCTAGTGCCAACCACACATCTCTTTTTTTAATTAATCCTGGTGTCAAATACTTATATGGATAACTATACTATATTTAATTATCTCATTGAAGCCACTTGTAATACATAACCCACTGGTGTGTCACACGGTCCATAACTAAACATAGATTGTGACCCACCAGTGGGGCACATGGGAGTCAATGTGTTAAGCATTTTTCCTATTTTACTGTGTCATCAACATGCATTTGTATACTTTGTTTTCCTAAAACCTCAAACTTATGTTTTCATCTCATGAAAGTATTTTCTTTACTTCAATCTGCCAAATAGAGCATCTAGCTTTTTTGGAAGAATCACGGGTCAGTAGGGATGGGCAGAAATCCCCATCTGCTTTACTCTGGAAATCCATGAGTGATGGTCTTTCGTATCCAAAACAATGATAAAATATATATACACACACACACACACACATACCACTGGATAAGCAGCTGGTGGTCTTACAGAAACACCCCATCTCAACAGTGAGCATTATAGAAGTATACAATTTAGTGCTAATATAATATTAAGCATACCTGACCAGGCAACACCTGCCACCAGATGGGATCTGGAAATGTGATGTTGATCAACTAAATAAGATATAAAATAATAATATGTCATCATACTCCAGTCAAAGACGAACAGACGTGTAGAATTGCCACAGGAGGAAGACAATACCCTCCTGAGGAAAACACAATTAGATTGTGCAGAGAACATGCAACAAATGTATTGGGAGTTGTCCACATACCAGCCCGAACTATCTCCTTCAAAGGATGGCAGATTCAAGCAGCTACAGGCATAGCTAGATGACAAATGTGGTGTGAAGAAACATTATGCAAAAGGCAACCCTCCATGGAAAAGTCGGGATACACCAGTCTTATGATTTAATGAACCCAAACGGTGAGCATAATAGGTGATAGAATAACATGAGAGGAAGCAGTAAAAGCCACATAGTATAGCAGGGAACAAACTGGACAAAGCAGTCAATTTGTATCTGAATGGGAGTACAGATGAGAAATGGTAGGTAAGGAAATAGAAGAAAAGGCTAAACAACCTTCCCAAGCAGCATGTCTCAGGAGGGAAGTCCAAAACCCGATCCAGATAGAGGATAACATACAAGGAATGGTAAAATATGAGGGAAACATTCATGGCATAAATATCAGGATGACAACAAACCCATGCCAGGCAGAAGAGGAAATAGGTCTGAAGGGAAAGATGGTATAAGGAATACATTGCAATGTGTTCCAAGGGGGATTTGGACAGGGCATGATGGAAAACCCTTCAGACTTTGGTCTATTCATCGTGGCTTCTGCCCATCCCTTCCTTCTGTTCCTCATTTATTCCAGTTCTTCACCTGGTTGTATAATCAAGGTTTGTTCATGTCAACTGTTGCTAGTTATAAGGCTGCTGTATCAAATACACCTTTCAATCTCCCACTTCCAGAATGCCTCCTCCTTCCCATTTATTTCCCTCCTTTTCTGTTCCTTTCATCTGGTCCATCCACCATGTTACTTTGTTTTACCAGATTGGGATCTCAGTAAGACCAATGCCTCTGATATACAGAAAAGGAGGAAGGTTGAAAGGAAAGATGCTACACTAAGGGTGAGTTCCTAAGCTGAGGCAAGGGACTGGATAAAAGTCATGTGTGCAGATGAAGTTTAGTGACATCAGAATGAACCATGTAGGATTGCGACTGTTGGAGGAGAGACCAGGACAGAGGTAAGGGCAGTGGATGTCACTCCAGCAAGTGCCAGAGCAGATAGAATTACATCTGAGCAGGCCAACACATAGCAACAAGCAGGACACAACAAGGAATGGTCTGGAGAAGGGAAAACACTGGTGAGGAGTCTGATCGGAGGGTAGGTATATAAGTGAAGACCTCTGAAAACCTGACTGAATGCATCCACTCCCAGAGCTGAAGTGTGTGGAACCAGAGACCAAAAGGAAGGAATTTTGGTATTCCAATGAGTGGCAAACACATTTATATGTTGTGTTCCAAGTTGAGAACACGCCCACCAAAATACTTGTGGAAGAAAGGATCACTCCGTGGGAAGAACCTGGTTGTGTCGAGATAAGCAATAGGCCACCAGATTCATGATGCTGGGAACATGAAACACCAAGATCACCATGTAGAGGTTGTGGGTCCAGTAAAGAAGATCCAGCAGCTGAAAACACAGAGGTCTAGATTTGGTTCCTCCTTGATTGGTGATATAGTCGACAACAGTGGAATAGTTGGGATGAACCATAATATGTATTAACTGTACATTGCACTCACCTGGGTACTATTGACCTGTGTAAGAGCTGTGTAATGAAAAACTTCAGGGAGACAATAAAATAACAATAATGTAGCTAGATATATCTACATGTTTACTAGAATGCACAAATTTTAATAATTCACATATTAATAAAATCATGAGTATTTTTTAAAAGATATTATTTAGTCATTATGAATTCAAAGATATCTAAGATAACAATCTAAAAAAAATGAGCAACAAGAAACATTAATCACAAAACACAATTAAGTTTTAAGCCCATAATTCAATATGGTCTCTAACCAAATACTCCAGTGTCTTCTCTATGTCTAGGATAGACTTCACTCCTCCTGACACAACTGTCAAAGGCGTACGACTTAGCTCTGTTAGATCAGCACTTATGTCCATACCTAAGGATGATAAAAAAGCAGGCAAATATAAAATGGCTTAATGTCCATACCTAAGGATGATAACAAAGCAGGCATGGCTGAATAAAGTGGACAAATATAAGATGGCTTAATGTCCACACCTAAGGATTACAACAAAGCAACTACTCATAAAGGAAGTAGACACATATAAGATGGCTTAATGTCCACACCTAAGGATTATAACAAAGCAACTACTCATAAAGGAAGTAGACACATATAAGATGGCTTAATGTCCACACCTAAGGATTATAACAAAGCAACTACTCATAAATGAAATGGACACATGTAAGATGGCTTTATGCTATACCTACAGAAGATAATAAAGCAATCACAGCTGAATGAAGAGGACACATGTAAGATGGCTTATTGTCCATATCTAAGGATGGTAACAAAGCTACTACTCCTGAATAAAGAAGATGCATGTAAAATACATTGTTTGATTAAAACAAGGTTCATATACTTATTTATAACATAAAAACTGGACATAAATATGAATAAATATCAATAACATCAATGGAGCAAACAATTCCAGTGCTATTTTATCAACAAACATTCATTCATACCAAATAACAGCAGCAGTCTCAGACATTATTAACTACTCATCCAAAAGATCGTCAAACAAATTACAACTAGCTGTAATCACAGTAAACAGTAACAAAAGTGACTACTTCACCAACAAACATGCATAAAATCATAAATGTGATATATATAGGTATATCATGTATTTTATACCTTCTATAGTGATATAGAAGTTGTTTTTTAATTTTTTAGTTTCCACACTGGTGACTAAAAATGATCCAGAAAGTCATTGCCTTTGCTTTGTTCTATTTCCTTTGTTCTCTTAGTAGGTAGCATGTTTTCTGCCTATAAGGGTATTTAATCATTTTATGAAATGTCTTAATTAAACAGACTGGCATTGAATATCCTGGTTTATTATGACTTCAACTTAAAGTGACAGCCAACCAATGCTGTCAGAGAACTGAAGTCATGATGCAATGCCGATCAATAGATAATGAAAGTAAGTTTACATTCTAGATTTGAGTGAACTTTCTTTGTTCAGTTCTACTTGGTTTTCATCATGGTTAATTCAGCAGACATTCATCTATTTTGATATATGGGAAGATGACAAGCTATTCGTTGATCCAATAAAGGCAGCAGTTTTTTCCATTCCTTGTTGCTGAGTATTCCCAAAGCCTAATTGCTTGATAGACTACAGGAACAATTGAAGATCATGATGGAGAGAAAGATACTAGCCAAAACAGCCCAGCTAATGGTTAGCCTTCTTCATCACTTAATTGGTCAAGGAGACACTGGATGTCAAGCTTTAGCTAGACTGATGTTGGACAGCTGTAGAAGTGTCTAAGCAGAAACCTTACCATCATGAAGATGCAGTGTCACTGCCCAATGTAAGCTGTGCAAGAATATAGTTGTTTTACAGTTTGCTTTGTTTTTTTACTTATTATCCTTCAGTGTATACATGTAGATACTTTAATGAAACATTCTCTGGTCTATATATACACATGCATAGTTATTTTAATTATGGTTTGCTTTCTGTTTGTGTGAATGGTTTTATTTTAGTGTGTTTTTATTATGCCATTCATTGTAAATAATTTTATTTTATATATGTATCTTAGTGGTAAAGGGTTTATTCTCACTTTAATTTTGAATAATTTCATGGCATGTTGCAGGTTTGTGCATCAGTGTTAAAAGGTTGTTTTTATTATGTTAAATCTTGAGTACCTGAGTTACAGTTTGTGATTATAACATAACATAATGTTTTGGGACAACATGGGACCTATTGGTTCATCTTGGCTGTTCCATCCTCAAAACTAAACTAAAATTATTAAAAAAAAATTTAAACCCAGCCATTTTCATTCATATACTTATCAAGCTTTTTCTTAAACTCACTTAAATTTACTACCTCTACAATATCTGAAGGAAACCCATTCCAAAGGCCAACCACCCCGTTAGAAAAATAAAACTGTATTAGCTGAAGATGACTCCTACTTTGCCAAAATTCATATTTGTGTCCCCTAGTCCTACTATTCTCGTTGTTAAATATTAAAAAATACAATATTCCAAATGTGGCCCAACCAGTGACCTGTACAATGAAAGTATAACCTCTTTAGACTTGTATTAAATATTTATGTACATAAAACCTAAAATCCTATTTGCCCTGCCACTAGCAACAGCACACTGCTTGGATGGCTATAGAGACTGATTATCAAGATCCCTTTCTTTCATGACACTGTTAAGGTTATTCCCATCCAAATTATAATAACCCACATGCATTATCTTGCATTTATTATAATTAAAACACATTTAATATTTATTTGCCCGACTCACTAAATGATCTAAATACTTTTGTAAATTAGAAGCATCCTCTTCAAAGCTAGCAACACCCAATACCTTAATATCATCTGGAAATTTCAGTATTTTATCAACCATTGCTTCACCTATGTCATTGATGTAAATCAAAAAAGGTAAAAGTCGTAAGACTGAGCCCTGAGGTATCCCACTTGTAACATTAATCCAGTTTGACTGAACTCCATTTGTAGCAACCCTCTACTTTCTTCCATCCAACCACTCTATCCAGTTTGCTAACTTATCCCCCACACCTATAGAAATATTTTTTTACAAGCTTTTTACGTGGCACTTTGTCAAATGCTTTCTGAAAATCCAGACCAAATCTACACCCTTACCTTCATCTACATAAACTTTTCCATAGAATGTCATAAGATTTGTAAGATTTCCACCCTTTCGATCATTTCTGTATTTGAAGTTAACAATAAGTCTAAAATAGCAT